TGGCTCTGCTGCTGCAGCTGCTGCAAGGCTCCGCGACGAGCCTCCTCCTGCTCCGCAAACGGGAACACGTGGCAGTGGAAGCTGGCCGGGAGGACGGGTGACGTGAGGTGGGGCCCCAGGGGTCCTGGGCTGTGCAAAGGCTGAAGGCTGAGTCCAGAGAGGGAGCTCACGGGGCAGCGCAGGGGACAGGGTGGGCTCTGTGGAAGTGACTTTAGGGACAGCTTGGTGGTGGGGACAAGCAGAATCCTGGGCACAAGGGCAGCGGGTGGCCAGTCCCCGGGGGGCTCACCAGTCAGTGATTTTACGGATCTTCTGCCCGATCTGCTCTCCCCAGTAGGAGATGACGAAGGTCATCCACGGCGCAGGCTCGCCCTGCCAGAGCGGGGGCCCAGTTTACCATGGAGACCTGGCTCCGCCCAGCATGCACCCCAGCCTGGGGCCCCCCAGCCCGCTCACCGTCACGGGGTCCTCCAGCTGCTGCTCCATTTCCCTGAAGCTGGCGATGAGGAAGCCGCGGCAGGCCCTCCAGAGCAGACGCTCCAGGGCGGCGGCCTTGTGGAGTTCCACGGCACCTGCCACGAAGCTAAGGGGCCAGGCAGGGCTGTTGGGCGCTGCTCCTACCCCCTCCCCCACCTCACCCGGGGCCAGGCCCTGCCCAGGGTGGTCAACCAGGCACACTGGCCCTGCCCCCAGGGAGAAGGCAGGAGCCCACCAGACCTGGCCAGGAGAAACCCCATAAACAAGGAAAATCCCCCGCCTGAGGGAGGTGGCACCATGGGGAGGGGCACTGGCAAGGAGTCCAATGGGGCCTGGCCTGGCTGTGAAGCTGCCCCTCACTTACTTGACCCTCAGGTCCTGGTGTGGTCCCCCGGGGGACTGGAGCAGCGGGGTCCTTTCCGAGGGCCCATCCGTGTAACTGCTTGCCACCTAGGAGTCAAAAGGCACCGTGAGCCTAGCCCCAAACAGGGCCTGGCACCCCTCCCCTTCCCCGTGCACCCTGCCCAGACCAGAGCTGACCGGGGGGCCGTGGCCCTGGCCTTGGCCCTGGCCCAACACAGCTGCGTGCAGCTGCAGCTCGTGCAGCTGGGTCCGCAGGGCCTGCTGGTTGCCCCGCACATCCCGAAGTTCCTGTGCCAGGCGATCTGTCTCCTCCTGGATGCGCAGCAGATCACGGGGTGGGGGTGCCGGCAGTAACCCCTCGGGCGGGGCCAGTGCCAGCCCAGCCCGCCGAACCTCCTCCTGCAGGAAGGCTGAGTGCAGAGGGACGGGCGTCAGGGGAGGCCACTTAGGGGCCACCACCAGCTAATAGCCACTGTTAGCCAAGGGCTGGCTAATGTCTAGGAGCCCCAAATGCCACCCCAAACTCCAGTGGCCACCAGCTAACTGATTCACTGAGTCCGAGACCCCTGGGAAAACCTCAGGCAGAACCTCCGCCCCCACAGGTCTGCTCCGCTCCCTCTGAGCTCATCCAGACTGCTCTCCCTCTCCAGCCCTTCGGCCACTGCCCAGCCCAGAGCCTGGGTCCCACAGTGTGGTCTTCTCGGCAGGCGAGCTCTGGCATTGTGGGTACTGGGACGAGAGCTTGCACGGAGGCCCACACGGTCCCTGCCTGATTGCTTACAAGCTGGCAAAGAGCTATGAAACCATTACACAAGTGTGCTCCAGCCTCCCGCCTCGCAGGTCCCTCTGGCACCCGGGCAGGGCTCCCTCCTGGCCCACTCTGAGAAGGAGCTGCTCCTGGGGGCACCTGACCCTAGATCCTGGCCCCTGCCCACCCCCGTCCATCTGTAGCAGAGAAAGCTCCGTACATGCCTCTCTCTCGCTTAGAAAACATGGTGGCCCCACAGGACAAATTCCTGGGCCCTCGTGCAGCATTCAAGGTTTTTTCAAGCCAGCCGTGGCCTAGGCCCTGCGCACAGCTCACCCAAGGCCGCTCCGTTCCCAAGAACACTCCACGGATCCCAGCTGCTCTGTTCCGGCCTCCCTTCTCTGCCTTCCACCTGGGTGACCCAGAATCTCCCTTTCAGACCAAGCTGGACCGGCACCTCCTCCAGGAAGCCTGCCTGTGATGTGGGTCTGGGGCTAACTCACTGAAAGTTTTCCCCAGCTCCTCGCAGCGCCGAACATCCACCACAAAGCGTCTCTGGAAGGCGCTCACCGAGGCGTTGAGCTGTGGTTGCCGTGTGTAGAGGGGTCAGTTTTCTGGGGAGGGAGCCAGGAAGGTCTCCACCCCTGGTTCCCACCCTGGCTCTCCTCAGGTTATAGCTGCCTCCCCCCAAAAGGTGCTAAGCACACCGTGAACCTCCAGATGCCCAGATGGAGAGCAGACCCCACACTCCCTGAGGAGAGCAGGCCAGGGCAGGGTAGCCTCGGCCATGAGTAAACCTGGCTTTTCTAAGAGCAGATGATCTATGACAGAGGCTGCAGGATTCGAGCAGGGCGGGGGCCAGTATGGGGGGAGAGGGTCCACCGGCCAGGACACCTAAGAACGAGGCCCCTCCCGCACCTGTCCCAGACCCACTCACGTCTCTGAACTCCACAAGGCCCAGCTCGCCCAGCTGGCTCACACAGGTGTAGGCAGCACCTGTAGGCAAGAAGAGCTGGACCAGCGCCACCTCTTCACTCCGGAACATGGAGCCCATGGCTCTGCGGGGAGGCGGGAAGTGGGGGCTCAGGCGGGGGCGGGCCACAGAGGGTTCCTGGCCAGGTAGGAATTCCGTAAACCTCAGCTCACGTAATCCTAGAAGGTCCTGCTACCACCTCCGTCTGAGAGATGGGGAAACTGAGGCCCAGGAAGCCTCGATAGGGTGCTGAGGTCACACGGGAAATAAGTAGCCTGGTCCAGCTAACGGCACGGCCTGACTCTAAGCCCAATTTCAAGCTCTTTCCTAGCTGGCTCTGCCCTGTCTGAGGCCCCTGCCCCTCACCCCTGCTGGCTCCTGGCGACACTGGCTCTTCTGACACCTGGCCTCTGTGACCTGCCCTTGCCCTGGATCCTACTCATCCTTGGGGCCCCAGGGCAGGGGGTGCCTCTAGCGAGCCTCAGCCCTGGCTGCCACAGCCCTCGCTGGCCACAAGCCCTTGTCCTTCTACCCCAGGGATCATCTTTGACAACCAACACCCAGGCTGAGGTCGGGCCTGTCCCCACAGGCAGCTGGAGCCCTCCTCCCTCCCTCCCTGTGGTGTCTGGGTGTGCTGAGGACATGGGGGTCGCCACTGGGTCCCCAGGGGTTCTGTGAGGGCACAGAGGCCTGGAAGGGGATACTGATGAACAGGGAACCTTCCTCTGAGGCCTGGCAGCGACCGTTGTGGGTATGGGTGGGACCAGCCTTCCAGATGTCGAAACTATTGAAAGTGAAACTGAGTGAAATGCGCCGGAAAGGCCCGGCGGGGCCTGGCGGAGGGAGGGCCAGGGTGGCCTCCAACGGGCCCTGTGGATGCCCCAGCCCACGAGCCAGAGACCCATGGCTGCTGTCCCCAGGGCCAGCCACTTCCCCTCTGTGCGATCCACTTTCCTTAGCTCTCTGACTGGGAGCGGGAGGAGACAGGCCCAGGTTAGGGCCCCACTGAGGGGTAGGGCTCCTCCTGCTGTCTGGGCTTCCCAAGTCACTTCCTCCCCTGGGGCCTGGTTTCCTTAAGTCTAAGTAGGGAATGCAGCCCTATCCCCAGAGGAGAGAAT